TTATTGAGTGTATCTATGCTGTGTGGATTCAAAGAAATGATCTGATTTTCAATCAGAATGGAAGGAATATCGAGGCTATCTTTAAAGACATCTGTTTTAAGGTTGCTAGCAGATGTTCTATTGACCATAGAAATTTATTGCTAGATTTGTTTTTTAGCTAATTGGCTAGTTTGTTCTTGGTGGTTTTTTTATTTTCCTGTTGTTTGTTTTGGGCCAGTTTGGGGAAAGTTGTTTTCAGTTGCTGAGGTTTTGTTGTTACATTCTAGGGGTTGTCCCAGTTTGTTGAGGTGTTGTGGCCTCGTTTCTCTTGGTAATTAATAAAATTTCTATCTTAATTGCCACAAAAAAAATAAAAAAATAAATAAATAAATAAATTATAGTTGTAGATTTTTGCTTTAATTTTCAATTATTTGGAAGAGAGAGAAACCAATAAGGATATGGGGGAACAAAATAACGATAATGAATTGACAGAGGAGTGGGGGAGCGTGTAAACATAACTAGAGGCGGAAGAATCGAAGACTTACATAGCTGTAGCTGACGATCTCGCGCTTTATTACTCATCATATTTAAGGTGATTGTGATCATAGGATTATTAGATTTAGATTGCTTCTCATTATTTTGTTGTCCTTCTCATTAGATCATATATATAGAAAGAACATGTTCTATTCATTTGATATTTATTTTAGCTTATATTAATTTTTTCGAATTATATTTCTTGTAGTTCAATTATTATTACGTAGTACAACTTATTTTTACTAATCGAATCAAATAATACTCTTAGCTTATTTTACTAACCTGCAAGTTGAGTATTATACTTAACTTAGCTTATTTTACTAACCAGCAAGTTGAGTAGTATACTTATTCTTTTATTAAGCACCTGGTTAATGTATTTTTTTTTTGTTTTTATAAATATAGAGGTGCTTGGGAAATCGTCCCACCAAATTGCATGTCGTTCATAATTTGGCAATTAATTCCTTCTAGACATGTTGCCACAGTGTGTTTACACCGGATGTTACGGTGCATTATTGGATATTGCTCAAAGATGACAAAGGTGCAACCAAGTATGACCGAACTTGTCACGAATATCATGCACAGTCTATGCTATTATATATATATACATATTGATTTGAAGAAAGAGCACTCTTCTCCATCGGCAACAAGTGCAAGGGACGATGGAACGAGGGTTGATAAGGGCATAAGACATCGCACAACAAGAACAAGGTAAGCCAATAACAAGCTAAGCAACAAGAATATCACATGCATGCGAGGGGCGCGGCATTAGTGAGTTTGGGAATTGGGATGCTCCGATGCTATAGAAATGTTGGCGAGATCACAACACCTATATTGGTCTACATCATTCAAGTGAAAAAGCAAGAATACATAGGATATGATTCATATGAATCAATTTTTTTTTTTTTTTTTGTTTTTCTTTTATTTGAAAGGTGATTCATATGAATCACTTATTCACATTATTCGTGATTCTCTAAAGAGCATTATTCTTGGAAATTAAATAGAAAATACTTTTAGGGCTTGTTCACTTCACTTTTAAAAAAAATATTCTGTAAAAATAAATTCAATTCAGTAAAAATAATTTCAACTTATTAAAAATTAAATCAGTTTAGTAAAAATAATTTAGTATAAAATATAAGTTCAGTTCAATAAAAATCATTAATTTTAAAGAAGAAATATAATAGAGTATTAGTAAAAATAATTTTTGTTCAGGAAAAATAATTTAAGTTCAATGAAAATTAATTTCACTTCAGTAAAAATAATTTAAGTTTAACAAATATAATTCAATTCAATTAGGTAAAAATAATTTTAATTTAGCAAAAATTAGGTGAAATAAACCAGGCCTTAGTGATCATCCAATTGATAGTAACATCATAATTTCCTATTTTCCTTAAAAGCCTATAGATCATTAAATATGGAAAATACAATCAATAACATCATACTAAAACAGACACCAGGTATGACACGTGTCATTTCCTTGTGCTATATTTTCCCTCCAAAACTCCCCTTCCCCTTTTAGCAAAAAAAATTTATCTTTGGAATATTTGTATAATATAACGATAATAAAATTATTCCAAATCTTAAGTATCTTTACATAAAATGAATTTCTTTTATTTAGTGTTCTTAATTCTTCCGTACACAATTTACCTACATTATTATTCTAACTCATTTTTAACTACAGAAAAAGTGAGCCACTGGTTCAAGTACAATATACTATCATTACCGCCTGGACATCTTTTATATGGAGTATTATTGAATTTTGTACAAAAAGTAATAATAAAATTAATTTATATAATTAATATTGAAGAAATTACTTAAAACGTCACTTTTATAATAAATGTTGTGTTCGACAACTATATCATACCCCCTCTGTCCCTATTTTATTGCCTCATTTGACTTTTCACGATCTTCAAAACATGAGTTAAAACGTTTATATCTTCATTTTTATACACGTAAAAATTATGAAAAGTTGATATTAATAAATTTACATTAAGATGAATTAAACAAAATCTCACTTGACTATATAATTTCTTGTAGAATAACAGGAATTAATGGTCAAAGTTTGACTCAAATTTTGGCTTGGGGCAAAAAATAAGGGAAGGAGCTAAGGGTGTATGTTAAATTCTAGGAAAATGTGAAATATCAATCAATTTTTTGTTATTATGTAATCAAATAAATTAATATCTTAGTAATACAGAAAAAATTATTATCTTTTGTTGAAACATGTGATTGAGATAATAAAATTATTACATTCAACATTATAAATAAGATGCGTAGTAAAAGACACGTCGGACATAGTGACAAGTGACATCTTCTTGTATTCTTTTTTTCGATAAATAACTACCATCTACAAATAAACTTTTCAAGTAATAAACAAACAACGATCAAACTACAATTATTGGATAGCTTAAAACACATTTTTATATAATAAAAAAGAGAGACAATATTATGTAGAGCATCAATTCATAAATAGGAAATGTACTATTAATAATATAGGTTAGTGTTGCCTAATTTTTTTTATTATTATTGCCTTAAATGATCCGAGTAGTATTTATTTTCATTGAAATTATTTTATTGGATGTAAAGGTGATATATTATTTGTAATTTATAAATTTACATGTATGTTGTGCTTATAGTTTTATTGTAGATTTTATGTAAATAAGTCATTAGTCATATAGTCACTAGATTATATAGTTTTATCGGGAATAATATGCATCATTAATGTAATATAATATACACTACTTTTTAATATTTTCAACACAACTAATCAACAAGAATTTTTTAATCTCAATTGCAGTTTTAATAATTTTTGCCTTATTGTTTTATTTTTCTATTTGCATTGCATTTATTTATTCTACATGAGTTGCCTCATTTTCATATTATTTCACAATTAATTATGAGAAAAAGATTATTACTACCGTGCATCGCACGGGCACTAATCTAGTTATACAATTAATATAAAGTTGAATTTTTATAAATGACCCATCAATGCAAGAACTACCTAGAATGCCCACAAATGCCTAAATTGTGTACGTAGCTACATTGCCAAAAGGCCAAGGATGTGACAAATCTGAACCATAAACAACACAAAAGATTCTTACCCGAAAATGAGCAGACCCAAATTAACCCGATTTAAAACCGATTTTAATGACTAGATTGCCACCTCTAGGTAGAAGTGAATCAACTTTATACAAGTCAATAAGAACGCGATAACATTGAGCTATTTTAATTGGCCGGTCTCTATATGACAATACAAGTACATACGTAAACGGAACGGGCCATTGCTTGTGTTTTAATTAAGTGTAACTTTAATTATATTTATATTTTAATATACATTAGTATATGAAATAATCGTATATAATACAAAGTATTTCTTAGTAAATAATCTTTATTTATTACATAAGTCAATTCTAAATCTAAATCACCTAAAATGCATTTATCTCTTTGTGTAATTTCATATATTTCAGGTATTGAATTCATAATATATCGAGTATTGGTAAGTTGATGTCATTACTTGTATGCAATCCATATTCCTTAGCTTTCACACACTAAGTCATAAGTTGTACCAACATAAAGGAAAAGTATTTAGGTTGCGATAAGCTAGTATATAGACGTAATCTTTAATCAAATAGTCCAAGTACTCGGTAATTCATAAACAACAAATTTATTAAGTTTTTATTCCAAGTCAAACTTAGGTACGTGTGTAGTTCATAAACTAATTTGTTATACGTTATACTACCCTTTTTTATATATGGATTTATAGTGAGTCTTCCAAGAACATTTTCTTTTTAAGGGTATTATATTATACACCCATGTCAAATATAGTGAGTTCAGGCCAATAATTGAGCTTATTTGCTCAACTTTTAATGTTCTTTTGTGTGACTAGTTTAAAAAATGCTTGCTTATACTCAAAATGCCATTCTGAAGACCCATGATAAATAAATTGGTAAGTAAAGCAAAAGAAAAAGACTTTCGCAACGCACATAATAGGTTAAGTTAATTAATCCGGAGTAATAACTATTGTACTCGTACAATAATTAGGCATATAATAGTATATAGAGGCATGTAAATTGTAATCGTGTATCATTACGAATACTTTACATACTATTAAAGACTAACTATTTTACATTAGTTACTATCGAAGGAGCCCCATTTCCTCATTATGAGAAACACTTTTGTTTCTCATAATGACATTTTGGAAAATAATATGATGTTTTTCACTTGTGGGGACCGCCTATGTATAATAAGTGGAACTTTCAGATCTTGACACAAAGTCCATGAGAAACAAAACAATAGGGAATTCCCCCGCTACTATCGGCTTATATATATATATATATATATATATATATATATATATATATATATATATATATATATATATATATATATATATATATATATATATATATATATATATATATATATATATATATATATATATCTTATTTTGAAAGAGAGCTAGAGAAAGAGAGAGAAGAAAAACAACTTACAAAGTCACCATAAGATATCCCATGAGATGATAGAGCAGAAGCAAGTTTCAAACATCTTTGATGAGTTAGTTTCCAAGTAAAATTGACATCTCCATACACCATAGAAATCTGGTCAGGAGAAACTCTCGCAGCCCTTTCCAAGAAACTAACTGGAGTGAGAGGAACATAGTTGGCAGGACATTGCACAAGACCTTTCATTTTCACCGTCAATATCGATAATCGACTTGGCTTACTCATACACAAAATGGTAATAGCCTCTGGCTAAGAAGAATGTAGCCAAGACATAAAAAATGTAGCAAGGAAGTTGAAGTGTTTATTTACAAAAAATTTATATATGTAATGTATATATATATATTCCTTTGGTTGGCTAGGGGAGACTTACATTAGAATAATTACAAAGTGGTTCAATAATATAATCTTAACCCAATAAAAACGCAACGAATAATGCGTATGAACATGGCCAGTTCAAATTGATTATAATTTATGGTGTTGAAGCTAACATACATGCATCACCTATGTACGTATATATAGTGCGTCAATGTCAATATTAATCGTCAAACACTATGTAAATCTGGTACGTTGTGAACATGTATCATGGAGATGACTTGGTATTGTGTAGGATTCAATTCCATGACGTATAATATACTTTAAACGTAGGTTTAGGTTCACTTCCAACTTAATGATGACAAGTCAATTACTAAATTAAGAAGACTTGTACAAAGTCTTATGGAATTGTAAGATAGTGTATTCTATTCAAGGAATAATGGGTCCACCACCACGCATATATATACATGACGTGTTGGAGAAAGAGAATCTGACTATATACGCATTAATTGGCAATGTTGGTCATTTAATTACTGATATTATGGAGATTGTACCTTGTAAGAACTCTAGCATAGTTGTTTCCTATACTTATACTTAATAATTTAAATAGGAACAGGGCAAACAATCTATATATTGAGAAAGTGAGTCTTTTGTATGTTTTTTAGATAAAATTTAGAAAGTGAGTCTGGAATCCCATTATTTGGCTTTAGGCACTTGGGATTACTCATTCAATGACGAGCACTATGTCTCGCCTAATCGTGTTTTTCTATCCTTTGCCCGTAGCAGTTCCTTATTTCGACTCCAATGATATGCAAAAGTTCACTACTCGAAAACAGCCTAATTCCGACGAAATGGTTCAGACGGGCACGTACTTTCGTCACAAAAACTGAAATTTCCGACGGATTTATGTTTCGTCGGAAATTTCCAATGGATTATAAATCCATCGGAATATTTGTACTTTCCGATGAAATATTCCGTCGGAAAGTTAAATTTTCGACGGAATTCTGTCGGAATATTTTTTTAAAAAAATAAATTTCTAAACCCAACCCTAACCCTTTCCGCCCCTTTTCTTTCCCCTTCTCTTTCTCTCTCCACTTCTCTTTCCCCTTCTCTTTCACTCTCCTCTTCTCTTTCCCCCTATTCTATTCGATCTCCTCCTCTTCTTTCCCCTTTTCTGTTCTCTTCAACATCCTCCTCTTCTCCTCTTTTCTGCTCCTCTTCTTTCTTTCCCCTCTTTATTCTCACACCATCGCAACACCTGCTCGCCCACCGCCATCATCAACAAAAGCGCCATCAACATCGCCCACTAGCTGCCAACATCGTTTTTTAGGTTTTTTTTTTAAAACAAGTTAAAGGTTTTTAAATCGAAATTCAGCCATGAAAACTCTAGATCTAGAATTTTGATGGTCGAATTTGGCCTTTTTAGCCATATTTTAGGTGAAATTTGAATCTATTATCGATTTTTAAGTTATTTGTTCGATTTTAAGGTAAGTTTTCGTTTTTTAATTTAAATTTCTTTAATTTAATTATAATTCGATATGGATATGGTGGTTTGGGTTACTTGGTGGTTTTGGGGGGAGGGGGGTTAGGGTTGTAGATCTGGTTTTTGTTTTGTTGTAGAATTAATTTTTTATTTTGTTTTTGTTTTTTTTTTATTTTTTTATTTTAGGGTTATGGTTGTGGTCGTGAGTTGTGTCAAAGAGGAGAGTGAAAGAGTGGGTTTAGGTGGGTGGTCGTGGTGTGGGGTTGGGGCTGGTGGTGGTCGTGGGTGTCGATGAAAGGAATGGTGTCTTTCGAAAAAGTGTATTATTCCAATAGAGGGTTTGAAATTATTAAAAAGCTAATTATTCTTTGAGGTCAAGTGATCGGAATGTCTAGCTTGAGGCCGCTTTCGATTAGTAATATTAATGTATAATTAATATTACAGCTTAATCTTGACTGAATCCTTTGGTCACACCCTAATCGAGTAAGCAATTCGAGATGATGAATCAATCCGAACAAAGACGTTGGATATCGAGCTTAGAGTGTCGAAACTGAGCGTCATAAGTCGAGTCGAATTTAGAATTCGACGGGAGAAATCAAGCAAACAACAAGTTCAAGCTAAGTCGTAGCTTTGCATTGGCCTAGCCATGCGAAGGCTAAGCTAGCATAGGGCATCAACCGCGTCGCATGGCTATGCCGCAAGCCAAGTAGGCATGTGCATACTAGGCTTGCTGCCCGAGCATGCTTGCGGGGTTGGTGCGCCTAGTCGCACGCACGCTAGCTCTAGCATGCATGGCTGGGCTAGTCAAGGCCTTAGCGAAGGCATCAAGCAGCTAGCGCGCAAGGGCGAGCATCATCCCTCGCAAGCAACGCACCAGGTGCTAGCATAGCATGCTGGGCATCGCTAGCGAGGGATGCACCCAGCAGCAGCTCGCTAGCAAGCGTGGCATACGTGCTGGGCTGCTCGCACTCGCTGCCGAGCTAGCAGCGCCCAGCATAAGCGATGCAGCAGCAACAGCCCGCATGGCATGCGTGGCCTGCTTGCTGTGCGTACGCATTTGCAGGTTGGTTGGCAAGCCCAACCATGGTGCTAGGCGCCAGCGTGGCAACCTGCCAGCCAGCTCCTGCGTGTGCCAGCACATGGTCAAGAGGGAACCGGTTTTGGTGGGTTGCTTGGGGAGCAAGGGGAGTTTGGTCCCCCCTTGTGGTCCTCACCTAACCCCCTTGCTCATCTCTTAACACTTGGCGTTTGTTGATTCACTTGCATTACAATTCAATTTTTGAATTAAAAATAAATTGAATAAAGTGCAATTTTACCAACTCTCCCACATTGATGGGAGATTGGAATCAAGGCTCCCTTCCCTATAAATACCCATCATTTGGGATTGGGAAGGAACACTTGAGGTGTGAATTTTAAGGGATCTTCAAGAAGAGAATACCTTAATTCTAATACTCTAAGTTTTCTTGGTCTAGCCCCGACTAAGCTTCGGGGTAGGGACCGTTTGGGTCGGGTCTCGAGGGTGAGATCCGTTGGAGGCTTGCGCATTTGCGGAGCTAACGCTTTCAAGTCCGAGCTTTAAAGGAGCGAAGCACGCGTCAAGGGTATGATCGTCTTTCTCTCTCTCTCTCTCTTAGTTAATTAATTATGTGATTGTTAATTAATATGCATGTTTAGTTACTTTAATTTGTGTGAGAACTTTGTGAGGGTTTCATTCCGCGTAGTGTCGGACACTACGAAACCCAACAATCGAGGTTTGGGCGAGTGGTGTGGCTCGAAAAAGAGAGGCGGGGTGGTTTGCTTGGGTGGTGTGGTTTGCGTGGAGGGTGTGGTTGGGAAAAGAGAGTGATGGTTGCGGACTTTTACGACGATAGTTTCCGACGGAATTCCGACGACAGTTTTCGACGGAAAACAGGGTGATTCCGTCGGAAATCAGTTGTTTACTAGTAGTGGTTCCTCTACTAAGGCACTGTCATTTCTGTTTTTTAACTGTCTTCATAACAACACAAACATAAGTAATTGTGCTTTTGTAGGTTATTGCAAGTTAGAACTCTTCTCCAAATTTCATCCATGTCCCGAAGGTCCCCAAGGACAATGATTCCACAAGTACGTCTTGTTTGCTATCTGTATTGTTTAGTGGTTTTGTTAGTTTAGTTTGTTGTATTTCCTTCCATTTAGTTTGTTTCCTTTAAACTTTGTAATTGCTCTTTTATCTATGAAGTTCTCTTTGTCAAAAAAAAAAAAGACTACATGTAAGTAATTTTAATTCATCTATACTTAGTTTGTAACTAGGTTAAGTCCTGTGCAACGCACGTTTTAGTTAACCTAATTATGATGAATTACAATTAATTTAACAATAATTTGAAAAAAAAAGTTTTCAATAGAAACAAAATAACGTACTTGAATTGTTTTTTTTTTAAAAAAAAACACTTGAATGTTATAGGTATATTGATGTCAAAAGTTATTTATCATTGTTAAATGTTTTTAAGAAATGTAAGAAATTTAATGATTATAGGTTTTTATTTAAGAATGAAAATTTATATTAATTACTACCCGTGCAATCAATCAATAACATAATACTAAACAGACACCAAGAATGACACGTGTTACTTCTTGATGTTGTTTTTTTCCCTCCAAAACTTTTTTTCTTTGTTTTTTTTATTCAGTTCCTAAAAAATAATCACTTCTTTATATAATTGTGATTCACTTTCTTAAAAAAATATTCACATATTTTTCATATTTTTATTGTATAAAATATTATTGTATATCTTTTAATTTTTTTTGGTGTTCTACCTGGTTCACCGTTTGGTCTAATCCGAACATAGGGCTTAATTTTGGGTATAAATTAAGATACAAACAGCTATGGCACGCAAGGTGTTCATGAGAAATCCAATCGAACAGTAACCCCTGCTCTTTATCAATTTCATTTAAAAATATGAGAATTAGTTTTAGGTAGATTTTGAATTATACATTATAATTCGTTATAAAATTTTGTAAAAACCGTGCGTGGCATGAGACTTAATCTAGTGTACTTATAAGCCCCACCCGTTCCTATTTTGTCGGTAAACTTTAACTAGCGCAATATTTTATACAAATTTAGTTGACATTTTTTTCCTTTTTTTTGGCGATAGTTATGATCAATTTTTATTTATAGTTATTTTGAGTAGTAGTGTTATTGTTATTAAAATTAAATTAAAGACATATATTAAGCTAAGTGTCAATCTCGGTTGGAGTAAAAAAAAAACTTTCAAAGAAAATATACAAAGTTGCATGATACTATCTTCTAATTTATTACCTTATACATACGTAGTATATGTTTGTACATTTTATAAAAAATACCTACTATCAAATATACTTGTATGAAAGATATGTAAAATATTTTTGTTGAATACAATGTAGAATATGCTTCATATATAATTGCCAAAAAAAGATGACGATTTGGAAAACAAAAAAAAAAAAAAAAGGAAAGTTAAAAAGGCGGGAAAATTTTCCACCAGAGAATGACATGTGTCATTCTTGGTTTCGCCTTTAGTATATAGTTATTGATAACACAAACCTGTAGGGAAATTTTCAACTCTCATTGAGTCCTACTGTGGTTCATGCTTTTAGGAATGGCGGCGTTCCAAGGAAAAGAAGCTAGAGAAAAAGAGTCGCCAACAATTTTTAGGAACTTGTAAACCGTTCACGGGTGTGAAGGTTACACCCCATTCATAACACGGAGATCGCTAACTCCATAGTGGTGCGGAACCATGACTGAATGTTCGGGGATGATGGTACGAATCCAACCTAAAAGATATTGAACCGGCCCTTAATAGGCCTCTACTCAATTCTTACGATATTCATCTTCATTACATATTACCGTCTATTTTTAAATAATACTTCGTACTGAACTAGCCTCCGACCAAAAAATCAATATAAATATCAAAATATGATACAACAGAGCACTTAATTATCACTTTAATCTCACAAATATTGCAGTAATAATAGAGTATGTTATGTCATATTATGTGCAATGACCCACCTTGATCCATTAAACTAGTTAATGTTAATGCAGAGTATTAAACCCTACATTATTTAAGAAAGTTAACATTTGTATAGTTTAGGTCAATTTTTTTTCACCTCAAAAAAGAAGTTTTTTTTTTTTTTTTTTTTTCCTTCTTTTTTTTGGGACACCGAAGAAGTGATATTTTACATGCATGTAATAGACTCCTAACAACAAAACTATTTCTCACAAAAATAAAAACAATATATATATAGATTTAGGGGTCAAATGAGATTATGAGAAGGGGCTTAGAATAAGAAGGATGAGAAGGAATCCACACCATTCATATTTTATCCAATGGTTACGATTGAAATCCAACTCCACAATCAAATGTGCATATTTCTTACACAAAATGTGCATGTTTTTTTTATTCAATGTGCATATTTTTTTTTCTTAACTAGATATATGCATAAATTTTAGATTAAATATGCAAAGTTTTTAAACACAATGTGCATAATTTAATAAATAAATGTGCAAAATTAATAATAGGTGTTTGGGTCCAATTTACTTTAATTGGGTCAGTCCACAAATGACTCAAGTATAAAGCCCAAAGCAAGGTTCAACTCTCCA